CGAGCCTGGCACCGCCGGGGCCGCTGCTCCTGGGGGGGGCCCGGGCGCTCAGCCAGCGGGGCTCCCCGGGGCCCTTTCTGCGGACCCTGAGCCGAGGAGCCCCACGGTCAGTTCGCAGAGGGAGGCCAAGAGACTTTGCGGGGCCTCGGGGCAAGGGCTGGGACTGGGGCCCCTGGCATGGGCGGCTGAAGGCCCAGAGCCTTCGGGTTGAGCGTTTTATTCTTCTAGTTCTTGTTCTAGTGACAGTAGCGCAGCAATAAGAGGCCCGTGTATGGCCACGTCCGTGTCATCAAGTCCTTTCAGTTGACAGTTTAAGTCCCGGCTTGACAAGCCCTGGCCGGGCTGATTTAGTCGGGATTGGTCCTGCCTAGAGCAGGGGGCTGGACTTGACCTTCCGAGGTCTCTTCCCGCTCTATGAAGGTCTATTTTCTTTACTCTGAAGTAGAAAACCAGTTCTGGGTATTGTGGCTGCGTTAATAAGATTAGAGGAATTCTGCGAATGTTGAAGGCCAAGCCTGAATGGTTTAATTTACAACGCTTTTGCTTTGCCATGCAGATCTGTAACCCCGGAGAGTTGTGTATGTAGGAGTGTGAATGTGTTAAGATAAGATGCAAAGTTCTACGGCTTTAGAACCAGGTGGTCAAAGGAGGGGGTTGAGCGAGTGCGGGCAAAGGACCGAAGATGAGCCAACCTGACTGCAGAGGAGTCATCTATGACCATCAATGCGTACCCCCTACTCACAAGAAGATTGGATAATTAGCAGATTGACGAGCCTTAAAGTGGAGCAAGCACCCCGAAAGGACGATTGGTTACAGGATGAACCTTCGCGAGATGTTTTGGGAACACTCACATCAAAAAGATAACATTCCAGTCCCAAGCTGACAGCAGGATCCATGGATTTTAGCAGAGAAGAAGGAATATATAAAGCAGGGTGCTTTGCTATGGAACTTTGGGTTTCGTCTTGCCAAGACACCATCCCGAGAGGAGCATCGGATGGCGACCGACAAAAGGCCCTGCTCCCCCTGTGTTTGATCTAGCTGGCCACTAGATTGACACAGACTCTGGACTGGTAACTATGATACCATTTGGCAGAATGATGTATGCATGATGTTTTGTGAGCGTGTGTGTGATTGAAAAGCGTACGCAACTGTTGTATTTTCAATAAATGCGGCGTCCTGCCTTCCCCCATAAAAGATCTCGTGTGCTTCATTTAAGCATAACGAGCTCTAGCTGCTGCCCCCCCGCCCAGCCATTGGCAGGCTAACAGTGCCCAGCTGTCCTGGCTTATGCCGCACCACCATGCCAGCTGCCCCCGGCGCCATCCCCTGCTCATTCAGCCCCTGTGGTGCATTGGCACTAGGAAAAAAGGCAAGTTCTTATTCAAGTTACCATGCGTGGGCTAGAAAACCAAGTGCCAAGGTGGGTGCAGTTCCACATTTGTTAGCAGGCTGAGATAACGACTCTGCAACGCAAGAAGAACCCCCCCCCCCATGTCACGTGGGGTGGACACAAATTCCCACCCGCCTTCTTAGTTAGAAGACACGAGGCAAGACAGCCAATCCTCTTTATTGGAAAGAGACAAAGCCGAGCCATAAAACCCCTGCCATAAAAACACGTCACCTTCTTCCGGAGCAAATTCCAGCCCCGGAGGAACTGGCTGGTGTTGACTCAGGTGCAGGATGCTCGGTTTGCACGGGACGAACCTGTCAGGGTCACCAGAGAGGCCCCTGGGAAGGGAGAAGGCTGAGCAGCACACCGAGGAAGAAAACGGGGGTTGCTGGCAGAGCAGATACAGCAGGGAAGCTTCCGGCTTTAGCACATTCCTCATATTGAGTAAAATCCACTTCCCGGATAGCACAGAGATGGTCGGTGCGGCAGCTCCCGTCGCACTCGCTGAGGTCGTACTGCACGGAGTTGAAGCGATAGTACTGCTGCAGGTACTGCTTGTCCTGTGACAGCTTCTCCAGCACCATGTGCATGGAGCGGGCTGACCCGTCGGGCACCTGGAAGGCCTCAGTCAGCCGATACTCCTTCTCCCAGCTGGGGCCTGCCAGGTTAGCATGAGTGAGGTTCACGTAATAAGTCACCATGTCCTGCGCAAGAGAGAGAAGACCAAAGGGGGTTAAGAGGGCAAACAAGCACAGGAACTGCCCTGGAAATGACCCCCCAGCCAGGGCTGGGTCTCAGCAGCTTCCTGACACTGGTGCTGAGGTGGGGCACTTCCACCAGTCCTACCCCGACAGGCAGAAGCAGCCGCTGCCCAGGTGCCTCACTGGCCCTGACCCGCTCTGCTGGAGCAGTTCTGGCTGGCTGGGGGCTCCACTTGGAGGCTGGCCCATCACGCGGGGGACTTTATCCCTCAGCTAGCAGGCCATGTGCACAGGGCTGTTACTTGGGCCCCGGTTCAATGGCTCTTGCAGGGGCAGCTCTAAAGGAGCTTGGCCAGGCTGCTTTGCGCCTCTCTGCAGGGTGGCGAAGGAACCGAGCACTTGAGCTGCCACGGAGCTCTGGGCTGTGGGGAGGGCTCAGCTTTATGTAAGCAAGAGCCCTGAGGGATGACTGCTCCGTGCCCAGCAGTCACCATGTGTTCCCAGATCAAAGCCACAGCAGAGCTGCACACATCCTGTTAAAACCCTGCTGCTCTGCGCCACTCCCCTCTCCTCCTCCTGCTCCCAGCCATCCAGAGTGTCCTCGGGGCAGAGAGATGTTGAATGGAACAAACAGGAGCTTACAATGATCCTCGGGTCCTCGTTACTGCTGCCGCACACACGTTTGGCCTTTTCAGGTGGCAGAGAGACTGCGGCAGAGCCCCGTTATAACCCTGCTATTCCCTGTTCCCATCACAGCGCAGGGCCTGTACACATGACAATCCCTCGCTCCTGCAGGCCGGGTCTCGCTAACAGACAGCCCCCCATACCAGACATACCACCAATCACACCTCTCGCAACAGAAACCTCGCCCCACGAAAACCCCATCGCCAGCTCTGGTGACACCGTCACAGGGCCTGACCACATCAGCTCATTCACCTGCACATCTACGACTGTGCCATCATGCACCAGCAGTGCCCCTCTGCCATTCACGTTGGACAGACCTGCCTGTCTCCGCTCAACAGAGTGAATGGACAACGTGGGCAGCACGTTAACCTGCCTGGCCACACCATTCCTGACGTGCAAAACAACTGCACACCAGACGCAGAGAGACACGGCTGAGCTGCAATTCAAGGCCCTTGTGATGCCGTCCAAAGCAGTTTAAACAGAGGCATGGAATGGCTCTCATCACACTAGGCAGTTTCCCCTGCAGGTCCTCTCTCCGTCTCCTCACTGTTGGGCTCCGTCTATACTGGCTTATTGGAGGCAGAACGGCTCTTGTGCAAGAGGGGGGTTTGCGCAGGAAGGAGCAGTGTAGACTGCTCCTTGCACAAAATGGCAGCTCATTAAGTATGCAAATGATTCATCGTTGCGCCTCATTTGCATCTGTTCTTGCGCAAGACTGGCCAGTGTAGATGTAGCCTTTGAGATGAGCCACCTCCCCTCTCATTCAGCTAGCACTGCGGTCCCGCTCCCAGCTCTGGTCCCTGCTTCTCCTCCCCAAGCGTCTGAGGAAGGGGTTTATATTAAGGATGTTAACTAACAAGTAATTTACTAGTCGATAGGCACTTCCGCATTCCTCCTCTGAAATGTACAAGAGCACCCGAGGCAGCATTTCAAAGCGGCAGCGCCCCCTCTTCCCCGTTTGCTGCCTCTATCTGACAGGCAGCAAGAGGGGGGGGAAGCAACTAGTCCTTAACATCCTAGTGTGTATCGCATGAGAGCTTCTGCCCTAACCCGTCTGTTAGTCTTTCAAGCGCCCCAGCCGCCTGCCTGTCAGCACAGGTCCTGTTCGGAACACGCCACGTTCTGCACCAGAGCAAGAATCTCGCCTGGGGGCTCCTGTCAGGGCTTTCTTTCCTGAACGGAAGGGCTGGAAGGCCCATTGCTTGGGCTCGTTATACAAGCCAGGGAAAGGCCTGGAGAACAGACCAAGGGGCGCAATCCTGCCCTGTCCTGGGGGCTCCGACTCCAGCAGCCTCTTGACACCCACATGGCCCTGAATTTTCTGCCCTCCGCCCTGCACGTGCACAGTGGCTCTGGAGTACTTTGCCTGTCTCTCCCCGGAGCTGTCGGTTAGTTATTGGAGCAACGCCGGCTGCAGCTGCTGTGCCCCAAGGGACAGACCATGCCGTGGGGGGGGGGCTCACCTTCACTTGCAGGGAGCCTCGGTCGTAGTCAAAGACCCGGATGCCAGGGTTGTTGGCGCCATTGTGCACGCCAGGCAGCGTGGTCTTCCAGGGGGTCACGCCTGGCGCTAGAAACATGGCACTGATGGGGGAACCTGCATGGGAAGGCAAATGGAGCCTGCCTGAGTCACAGCCTGGCCCAATCCAACTACAAGCCTGTGACGCTGCCTAAGCCACTTGGCTTGCAACACGTCAGTCGCCCAACGACAGCCACCGGCACGTGGGCATCAGTCACCTTATGACAGCCACCAGCGCACAGGCACAGCAACACCATCCTGGCAGACACCAGGGTGGGATTGGGACCTCCCACCTAAAAGCACAACTCTGCAGCAAGAAAACAGGCTGCAACAGCCGCATGTGCCCCGTGGCTCCCACTCCGAGCGCTGCATGCTCTGTGCTGCTATCCCCCAGGGCCTCCGTAGGTGGGGCCAGATGCCCGGATGACGGGCACCAGCAGCCGTGGGGCAGTGTACAGTGCTGGGAGGCAGGAGGATTTGCCAGTCACACAGGCCTGCTAGGGGCTTGCCACCTCCTGGTGCCCATGGCTTTCCGCCAAGGGCCCCGATGTAGTGTTGGCTAGACCAGACGGGGCCAATCCACCCCATGGCATTTCAGGACATGTGATGCAGGACCAATGGGATGCCCTGCAGCCAGGGCTCAGCCCACGCTGTGGCACGGTACCGCCATGGCTGTAAAAGAGCCGAAAGCTGTCAGTGTGATGGTGCCCAAAGAACTGGGCAGCTATTGCTCCGTGGTGCCGCTGCACGATCTCGACATAGCGCCTGTTAAAGTGCTCCCGGAACCAGGCTTTGTGCCGCTTCTTCTCGAAGAAGCCGGGCGGGACGTGCCCCACGATGTAGACCTGCCGCAGAAAGGAGCCGGGCTGTCAGGCGGCCTGCAGAGGCTGCGCTGCAGGCTTTGCACAGGGAGGAGCAGCTCAGCGGCAGAAGCTGCTTCCAGGAGGAAGGAAACCGTTTTACCATTTCTCCTGCCTTCGCTGCGGAGGTCAGCACGTCCTCCAGCCACTGGAACTGCCCGCCGGGGTCCTCCACACCCGCCGTCTGACTGTTGCTCTCATAGTACAGGTTGGTGTTGAGGACAATCATTTGTCCCTTGGTATTGGGACCGCGCAGCTTCTCACTGTAGAAAGCACCTGCAAACCCAGCCAGCAGGAGAGAGGCCTGAAGGGACAACACCTCTCCCACCCCCTCTGTTACCGCCACTGGCTCAGCTGCCCAGGGACGCTGGCCTGGGCAAGGTGCCAGCAGCTGCCAGCACGTCGCCCACTCAGAGGCTTCCGAGAGCCCTGCCTGCCTCAGCATGCCAGAGCTGCTCCCAGCCCTGCGGCCGCAGCGTGGGCAGGGCGCTTGTTGGCTAAGCAGCCCAAGGGGCCCAGCCTCTGCCCCGTGCCTGTCTGGGAGTCTGACCCAGGCGAGGGCTATGCTGGGAAGGGCTGGCGACAGAGCACGCCCGTGTAGACAAGGCCCAACCCTCCCGGGCTATGTGAGGGCAGGCCGCCTGCCTGGGCTGCCCTGGAGGGCAGACGAGATCCACTCAATGGTCCCTCCTGGAATCTCGGACCCAGGGTAGCCATGTTGGACCAGGGCTAGGGAGGCCCTGAGGAGCAACGGTCTGTGCAAATCAGGCCTGGAGCTGGGCCTTGAGTCCCACAGCCTCCTAGTCGTTCCAGGCCAGGCCCGATGGTTGCGCGAAGGGAAACCGTCGGGGCACCCTTCTACGCAGCTGAGAAAGCAGGCGAGCTGGAGGGCCAGGACACGCTGTTCCTGGGCTCCTGTGCAGCTGCCTGTGGGCTGGTGAGAGGAGCTGGGTTGGCAGCCCATCGGGAGGGCCCTTCCTCTCCCTCAGATGTGCCGCAAACTGCCCCTCCGTAGAGGGGACCGTGTCCGACCCGTCCCACAGCCGGGGCTGGCCAGGGAGGGAGCCGCACATGCCTGCTCTGAAGGTTGGGATGGAGGCATTGCTGAGCCAGGAGCGCCACAGCTCGGCTGTTGCGTTGTAGATCCGGTGCGGCGTTGGGGGGAGCTGGTTCTTGGGGTGGAAGTCGTGGTTGCCTATGGCAGGGTAGACGGCAGTGTCTGGAGCAGAACAAGAGGACACGTGAAGGCTGGTTTGGTGCCTGGAGCCAAGGGAAAGGACAGAGACTCTGGGCAGGACAAGAGGACATGGGCCTTCCCGTGCAGGGGCGACTGGCTGCTTCTCAGCCAACGTGCTGGTTCTGGCCAGTGGTTAGGAATAAACCACCAAGAACTACGGACAGACCCCTTGAGCCCAGAGCTGGGCTTGGGGCAAAGTCCCCTCTCGTGGCTGTGGTGAAACTGGGCAGAAACCCCACCCCAGGCAAAGCGTCACCAAGTCCCACTGAAGGGCTAGTTGGGGGCTTTCAGTGGGGACCAGGGAGGAATTGGGTAGATCGGTGGTTGGGGAGCAGCTGTTCAGGGGGAGTACGTGGAGAACTGCTTCAACTCGGCACCTGGGGAGCCATTTATAGTAAGAAAAGGCAGTGCTGGGGAGGGATGGGGGGAGCCCCTGGTGAGGAGCTGTTCTGGGGAGCTATGGGGGGAGCCCCTGGTGAGAAGCTGTTCTGGGGAGCCCCTGGTAAGGAGCTGTCCAGGAGGCACATGGGGGGAACCCCTGGTGAGGAGCTGTTCTGGGGGGAGCCCCTGGTGAGGAGCTGTCCAGGGGGGCCATGGGAGGAGCCCCTGGTGAGGAGCTGTCCAGGGGGGCCATGGGAGGAGCCCCTGGTGAGGAGCTGTTCTGGGGAGCTATGGGGGGAGCCCCTGGTGAGAAGCTGTTCTGGGGAGCCCCTGGTAAGGAGCTGTCCAGGAGGCACATGGGGGGAACCCCTGGTGAGGAGCTGTTCTGGGGAGCTATGGGGGGAGCCCCTGGTGAGAAGCTGTTCTGGGGAGCCCCTGGTAAGGAGCTGTCCAGGAGGCACATGGGGGGAACCCCTGGTGAGGAGCTGTTCTGGGGAGCTATGGGGGGAGCCCCTGGTGAGAAGCTGTTCTGGGGAGCCCCTGGTAAGGAGCTGTCCAGGAGGCACATGGGGGGAACCCCTGGTGAGGAGCTGTTCTGGGGAGCTATGGGGGGAGCCCCTGGTGAGAAGCTGTTCTGGGGAGCCCCTGGTAAGGAGCTGTCCAGGAGGCACATGGGGGGAACCCCTGGTGAGGAGCTGTTCTGGGGAGCTATGGGGGGAGCCCCTGGTGAGAAGCTGTTCTGGGGAGCCCCTGGTAAGGAGCTGTCCAGGAGGCACATGGGGGGAACCCCTGGTGAGGAGCTGTTCTGGGGAGCTATGGGGGGAGCCCCTGGTGAGAAGCTGTTCTGGGGAGCCCCTGGTAAGGAGCTGTCCAGGAGGCACATGGGGGGAACCCCTGGTGAGGAGCTGTTCTGGGGAGCTATGGGGGGAGCCCCTGGTGAGAAGCTGTTCTGGGGAGCCCCTGGTAAGGAGCTGTCCAGGAGGCACATGGGGGGAACCCCTGGTGAGGAGCTGTTCTGGGGAGCTATGGGGGGAGCCCCTGGTGAGAAGCTGTTCTGGGGAGCCCCTGGTAAGGAGCTGTCCAGGAGGCACATGGGGGGAACCCCTGGTGAGGAGCTGTTCTGGGGAGCTATGGGGGGAGCCCCTGGTGAGAAGCTGTTCTGGGGAGCCCCTGGTAAGGAGCTGTCCAGGAGGCACATGGGGGGAACCCCTGGTGAGGAGCTGTTCTGGGGAGCTATGGGGGGAGCCCCTGGTGAGAAGCTGTTCTGGGGAGCCCCTGGTAAGGAGCTGTCCAGGAGGCACATGGGGGGAACCCCTGGTGAGGAGCTGTTCTGGGGAGCTATGGGGGGAGCCCCTGGTGAGAAGCTGTTCTGGGGAGCCCCTGGTAAGGAGCTGTCCAGGAGGCACATGGGGGGAACCCCTGGTGAGGAGCTGTTCTGGGGAGCTATGGGGGGAGCCCCTGGTGAGAAGCTGTTCTGGGGAGCCCCTGGTAAGGAGCTGTCCAGGAGGCACATGGGGGGAACCCCTGGTGAGGAGCTGTTCTGGGGAGCTATGGGGGGAGCCCCTGGTGAGAAGCTGTTCTGGGGAGCCCCTGGTAAGGAGCTGTCCAGGAGGCACATGGGGGGAACCCCTGGTGAGGAGCTGTTCTGGGGAGCTATGGGGGGAGCCCCTGGTGAGAAGCTGTTCTGGGGAGCCCCTGGTAAGGAGCTGTCCAGGAGGCACATGGGGGGAACCCCTGGTGAGGAGCTGTTCTGGGGAGCTATGGGGGGAGCCCCTGGTGAGAAGCTGTTCTGGGGAGCCCCTGGTAAGGAGCTGTCCAGGAGGCACATGGGGGGAACCCCTGGTGAGGAGCTGTTCTGGGGAGCTATGGGGGGAGCCCCTGGTGAGAAGCTGTTCTGGGGAGCCCCTGGTAAGGAGCTGTCCAGGAGGCACATGGGGGGAACCCCTGGTGAGGAGCTGTTCTGGGGAGCTATGGGGGGAGCCCCTGGTGAGAAGCTGTTCTGGGGAGCCCCTGGTAAGGAGCTGTCCAGGAGGCACATGGGGGGAACCCCTGGTGAGGAGCTGTTCTGGGGAGCTATGGGGGGAGCCCCTGGTGAGAAGCTGTTCTGGGGAGCCCCTGGTAAGGAGCTGTCCAGGAGGCACATGGGGGGAACCCCTGGTGAGGAGCTGTTCTGGGGAGCTATGGGGGGAGCCCCTGGTGAGAAGCTGTTCTGGGGAGCCCCTGGTAAGGAGCTGTCCAGGAGGCACATGGGGGGAACCCCTGGTGAGGAGCTGTTCTGGGGAGCTATGGGGGGAGCCCCTGGTGAGAAGCTGTTCTGGGGAGCCCCTGGTAAGGAGCTGTCCAGGAGGCACATGGGGGGAACCCCTGGTGAGGAGCTGTTCTGGGGAGCTATGGGGGGAGCCCCTGGTGAGAAGCTGTTCTGGGGAGCCCCTGGTAAGGAGCTGTCCAGGAGGCACATGGGGGGAACCCCTGGTGAGGAGCTGTTCTGGGGAGCTATGGGGGGAGCCCCTGGTGAGAAGCTGTTCTGGGGAGCCCCTGGTAAGGAGCTGTCCAGGAGGCACATGGGGGGAACCCCTGGTGAGGAGCTGTTCTGGGGAGCTATGGGGGGAGCCCCTGGTGAGAAGCTGTTCTGGGGAGCCCCTGGTAAGGAGCTGTCCAGGAGGCACATGGGGGGAACCCCTGGTGAGGAGCTGTTCTGGGGAGCTATGGGGGGAGCCCCTGGTGAGAAGCTGTTCTGGGGAGCCCCTGGTAAGGAGCTGTCCAGGAGGCACATGGGGGGAACCCCTGGTGAGGAGCTGTTCTGGGGAGCTATGGGGGGAGCCCCTGGTGAGAAGCTGTTCTGGGGAGCCCCTGGTAAGGAGCTGTCCAGGAGGCACATGGGGGGAACCCCTGGTGAGGAGCTGTTCTGGGGAGCTATGGGGGGAGCCCCTGGTGAGAAGCTGTTCTGGGGAGCCCCTGGTAAGGAGCTGTCCAGGAGGCACATGGGGGGAACCCCTGGTGAGGAGCTGTTCTGGGGGGCCATAGGGGGAGCCCCTGGTGAGGAGCTGTCGAGGGGGGTTATGGGGGAGCCCCTGGTGAGGAGCTGTCGAGGGGGGCTATGGGGGAGCCCCTGGTGAGGAGCTGTCCAGAGCAGGCACCTGTGGGCAAACAGAAGCGTCAGTTTCCCGAGCTGCAGCCTGACACTTGTACCAGGAGCAGGCAGTGATGGGCCCAGCTGGCTGACTCCACTGGCAGGATCTGTCCCCTGCAGTGATGCTGGGCAGATGACGCTCAGTCAGGAGTCATGGGGCCGTCCGCAGTGGGGGGGCTCCACTGGGGAGTGGGAAGCATTGTCCCTCCTAGGCATAACCCACGTTTGGTCGGTCCCATATACTTTGCTGGGGCCATAGGGGCAGGTGGATTCCTTCTCCCGTTGCTGAGCAGGGGGTTCCAATGGTGTTTTCCACCATGACTGTTCAAAGACTGCTGCTTTCCCACACGTCCCCCTGCAGTGTGGCTCCCTGTCCAGGGTGAAGCTGCCCAGAGACCATAGCGATGTAGTGGACCCCTCCCCCAATGCACTCCTCCCCCAGGAAGGAGGCCAAAGGTCCCCCCATGCTAGGTTCCTTGACCACTCCGACGGCGTCCCCTTCTCTGGATCTGCCATCTCTGGCTGGCTGAGCTGGTCTCGCCTGCCAGGCGGATGCTGGGTCACCTATTCTCCAGATTGCCTCCTTCTCTGTCCTGGGGAATCGTACCTGGAAACACCTGTTTTATCAGAGCAGTCAAATTGGCAATTATTTCCAGCACCACGTCTTCTCCAAGTCTCTTGTTGGGGACATGAGGAGTATCGTCTCTGGAAAACAGCACAATCATCAGGTGCAGCAGCCGTGGGAAAGGGAAGAGTCGGTAGCTGTCATCCCAGAGAGACCAGGGGGTACAGAAGATATTTCTTCACCCACTTGGTCTCAGGGAGGCGTCTGCACACAGAGCGAGGAGGCAGCAGGTGGGGACCTTCCATCTAGCGTGCTGGATGTGGTTTCAGGTGAACATTTGGGGAACTGTTCTGGGAAAGAACCTGTTCCCACATGTTCAGCTTTTTCTTTTTGCATGAGAAATCTGGGCCCAGCTGTGCTCCGCTGTGTCTGGAAGATGCCATGGCTGCCTGCAGGACTAGTGACTTTACACATTCTGAGAGGGAATCCTGCTTAACGGACGGGGAAAGCCCTTTGTTTCTGTTTGTGTGTAACTCCTCTGCCTGACTGGACAGCTGGGCTGTGTCTAGACTGGCCAGTTTTTCTGGAAAATCAGCCGCTTTTCCGGAAAAACTTGCCAGCTGTCTACACTGGCCGCTTGAATTTCCACAAAAGCACTGACTTCCTACTGTGAGAAATCAGTGCTTCCTACTGTGAGAAATCAGTGCTTCTTGCGGAAATACTATGCTGCTCCCGTTCGGGCAAAAGGGCCAGTGTAGACAGCTGAGATTTGTTTTTCGCGAAAATGGCGATTGGGGCTTTTTTGCGCAAAAGCGCGTCTAGATTGGCCACGGACGCTTTTCCGCAAAAAGTGCTTTTGTGGAAAAGCGTCCGTGCCAATGTTGACGCTCTGTTCCGAAAATGCTTTTAACAGAAAACTTTTCCGTTAAAAGCATTTCCAGAAAATCATGCCAGTCTAGACGTAGCCCTGGAGAAAAGCCCATTTGTGAGGGATTCAAACCCTCACCTCCATGCTCTGGCTGCTCCGAGGGCCTCCAGCAAAACCCGCAGAGCAGCCTTCACAGGCCTCAGACGTCAACCTTTCGGACTCTTCATTAGTCTCCTAGAAAAGGGCACAAAGCTGTTTGCAAAACTCTCCTCCTGCTGCCTTTAACAATGCCCACCTTGTGCCCTGCTGGCTGTGCTAACAGCACCGGGCCTGGAGTGAGTGCCGCCAGGGGCTGTGCATCTTGGGCCCACGTGTGCAGAAGGGCCTGAGATGCAGGGGTCTGGTTATGATTCCTGTGTGGGACTCTGGCCTCATTCCGCCAGCAACAGACCCTGACTTGGGAAGCTGCTTACCTAACAGGAACTCCCTTTGCTCTGTATTGGCTGCTCACTCGTCAATAGAGTCACTGTCACAGGGTTGCCAACTCTCCCCACTGGACAGACCAGAAGGCATTTGTGACAATGGTGTCCGGCCCGTGTGGTCTGGGAGACCCTAGTTCTCTGGAGTATCTGGCTGAGATTCTGCCTGACCAGCACAGCTCCTGTAACAAAGGCTATTGTTTACATGCTTGTCCAAGGCACCAGGACTGGCTATTTTGAACCAGGAGCCCTGCAGAGGAGCACCCTTGCCTGAGGCAGAGCCAACACCTGACAGCAGCACATGCCTCGCTCCTAGGTAGTTAACATGCTCTGATTGACAGACACCCAAGGGAGAACTTGGCAAGTCTAGCCAGCAGCTGGACAGCAACTTCTGCTTCTTTATCCTGGTTTCCCTATCTTGTGCATGAAGCTCTGATGCCTCAGGAGGTCCCTTCCTGACCTGTGACCCTCTAATTTGGGGGCACTTGGTAAGAGTGGATCCGATTCCTGGGTGATTGAGCTGGGGCTTGCTAATTGCAGGGTGGCAGCTGTTGCACTAAGGTGCTCATGTGCACCGTGAGTAGAATTCAGCATGTTCCTGCCTGTGATTTCGAATGTGTGCATGGGTTATACTGTGATCATGCCCTAGCTGTCACTGCTAGCCACAGATTCCTTACCCAGTCCACAGGATGAAGTCCGGATCAGGCAGGATCTCCTTCATGGCATAAATGGAGGAGTTTATGAGAATCCAGGGAGAATCACACAGGTAATTTCCCCATCTTCCTGCATTAGACACGGGCTGGGACCCAGCAGACGGACACACCTGGAGAGGGTCTGTTGTCACTCTGTAGGCTGGGTCCAAATGGAGGTCTGTGACATGCCAAAAGTGACCTGCCAAAGACAGAACCCACAACACAGTGCAGGGCAATTGAAAACTGATGCAGCTGGGAAGCCATGGGGCAGCGAGCGTTAAACGACTCTCTACTGGAGTAATTCCCTGTGCAGACATTGCTATTCCAAGCCAAGAGTGTCCATCTGGGATCTTTACTGACACAACTATTGAGCCCTCTGTAGGGGCTCAGTGTGGAGGGCACTGCCTTGGGAATTTGGAGACCTGGCTGCACTTCTCTCCTCTGCCATGGACTTCCTGTGTGACCAGGGGCAAGTCACATAGTCTCTCCAAGCCTCAATTTCTATTTGTAGCAAGGTGGTAATAGCAATGCCCTGAATCATAGAACACTAGAACTGGAAGGGACCTCGAGAGGCATCAAGTACGGTCCCCTGCCCTCATGGCAGGACCAAGCACCATAGATCATCCCCGGTAGTTGTTTATTTTAACCTGCTTTTAAATATCTCCAGTGATGGAGATTCCACAACTTCTCTAGGCAATTTATTCCAGTGTTTAAACACCAAGGCTGTGTCTACACTGGCATGATTTCTGGAAATGCTTTTAACGGAAAAGTTTTCCATTAAAAGCATTTTTGGAAAAGAGCGTCTAGATTGGCACGGACGCTTTTCCGCAAAAAGTGCTTTTGCAGAAAAGCGTCCGTGCCAATCTAGACGCTCTTTTCCAAAAATGCTTTTAATGGAAAACTTTTCCGTTAAAAGCATTTCCAGAAATCATGCCAGTGTAGACGTAGCCTCTTTCGGAAAAAGACTTTTGCCCGAATGGGAGCAGCATAGTATTTCCGGAAAAGCACTGACAATCTTACATGAGATCGTCAATGCTTTTCTGGAAATTCAAGCGGCCAGTGTAGACAGCTGGCAAGTTTTTCCCAAAAAGCTGCTGATTTTCCGGAAAAACTGGCCAGTCTAGACACAGCCCAAGGGTGCATCTAGACTGGCAAGATTTTGCTTGCGCAAAAACTTGCCAGCTGTCTACACTGGCCGCTTGAATGTAAGAATTCGGTGTTTCTTGCGCAAATACTTTGATGCTCCCGCTCAGGGATAAGCCCTCTTGTGCAAGAATACTTGTGCAAGAGGGCCAGTGTAAACAGGCACCTTAATTTTTTGCGCAAGAAAGCCCAATGGCTAAAATGGGTGTCTATATTGGGCACAGATGTTTTTGCGTAAAAGCATCTGTGCCAATCTAGATGCTCTTTTCGGAAATACTTTCAACGGAAAAACTTTTCCGTTAAAAGTATTTTCGCAAAATCATGCCAGTCTAGATACAGCCAACGTGTGAAACTGTTCCTTCCTAAGTGAAGTACTTTGCATTTGTCCTTATTGAATTTCATCCTATTTCCCTCTAACGATTATCCTACTCTCCAAAGCATTTGCAACCCCTCCCAGCTTGGAATCATCTGCAAACTTTGTAAGTGTACTCTCTATGCCAATATCTAAATTATTGATGAAGATATTGAACAGAACTGGTCCATAGCTGATTTTTGCAGAATCACACTTGTTATACCCTTCCAGCATGACTGTGAACCATTGATAACTACTTTCTAGGAATGGTTATCCAACCAGTTATACCCTCAACTAATAGTAGCCATGCCCAAGCTGTATTTTCTTAGTTTATTGATAAGAAGGTTGGGTGAGACCATATCAAATGTTTGATTAAAGTCTAGATAAACCAGATCCACCTTATCCTCAGGGCTTTTTATCTTACCAGAGAAAGCTATAAGGGTGCTTTGACATGATTTGTTCTTTTACAAATCCATGCTGTTACTTTTCCCATTATTATCTTCTAGGGCTACATCTAGACTGGCATGATTTTCCGCAAATGCTTTTAACGGAAAAGTTTTCTGTTAAAAGCATTTGTGGAAAAGAGCGTCTAGATTGGCACGGACGCTTTTCCGCAAAAGCACTTTTACACAAAGCATAAGTGGCCAATCTAGACGCGCTTTTGCACAAAACAAATCTGAGCTGTCTACACTGGCCCTTTTGCACAAAAGGACTTTTGCCCGAACAGGAACAGCACAGTATTTCCGCAAGCAGCACTGATTTCTTACATGAGATCGTCAGTGTTCTTGCGGAAATTCAAGTGGCCAGTCTAGACAGAGCCTAGATGTTTCCAGATGGAGTCCTTGATTATTTGCTCTATTATCTTGGCATATGTGACGGGGCGCGCCGCCCCCTTCCCGCCAGCATCGGCCTGCCCCGCACCAAACCCGCGGTTGCCCTGACCCTCCTGGGCACCACCCGGGGAGTGGGGGTGAGTTGCAGGGCCTGCTCCGCCGCCGCGGCCCAGCTGACGAGCGGCAGGGGGGTGGGGCTGACGGCAGAGCGGGGACGCACAAAGGGGGATGAGTCAGCTGACGCGGCGCCTGATGTCATCAGGGCCGGACGTCGGTGCGGTTTTTAAAAACAGGCCCGGGGGAGCAGGGGGAGAACGGAGGAAGCCGAAGAGGAGCAGGGTGGGAGAGTAAGCGACGGAGGAAGGAGGAAGTAGCGTAGGAGGGCGAGGACAGATTGGCACAACACCAGAAGGGTGGGTGAGGGTAGCACGAGCTGTGAGGGGGGGCCACGGGGGTCATAGAGAAGGGGTAGGAAGCAGCCCAGGGAGGCGAACCCGGCGGGTCGGGGTGCTTCGGACAAACACCCCCCCAGCAGAGCCAGTGGCCACTCTCCTGTCCTCAGGGCCC